TTAATAAAGTGAAATGGCTTCAGTAAAATTTTGAAGCAAATGCTTCTGAGCAAATATAATTTTTCACATTTATTAAACTTGGAGGTTGTGTACTAGAAGTATTTTTAATTTATTATATACCATTTTATCTAAAAGCATATAATATTACCTGTGGTTTGGAAAAACATGTGGGGAAGAATTTAATTTTTCAAGTAAAAAAAATTATCACTCAGAATAGCCAACATAATATTGAAGGAGAAGAACAAAGCTGGAGGACTGACACTGCCTGACTACAAGGCTTTACTGTAAAGCTACACTAATCAACACAGTGGCTTTGCCTACAGAATGGACAAACAGACCAATGAAACAGAATAAAAAACCTAGCAATAGATCTCTATATATACAATCAATTGATCTCTGACAAAGGTAAAAAGACAATACAATGGAGCAGGGATAGTCTTTTCAACAAATGCTGGAGCAAGCTGACATCCACATGCAAAAATAAATCCAGACACAGACCTTATATCTTTCACAAACATTAACTCAAAATTAATTATAAACATAAGTGTAAAGTGTAAAACTATAAAACTCCTAGAATATAACAGGTAAAAATCTAGATGATTTTCAGCCTGGTGATGACTTTTTAGGTACAACACCAGAGGCACAATCCATGAAAGAAATACATGATAAGCTGGACTTCATAAAATGAAAAACTTATACTCTATGAAAGACAATGGCAACAAATGGCAGAAGATAAGCCAGAGACTGGGAGAAAGTATTTGCAAAAAACAGATCTGATAAAGGATTTTTACCCAAAATATACAAAGAACTCTTAAAACTCATCAGTAAAAAAACAAAAAACTTAATTAAAAAATGGGCCAAAGACCTTAATGGGCACGTCACCAAAGAAGGTAAGAGTTGAAAAATAAGCTTAAGGAAAGATATTTTACATCATATGTCATAAATAAGAAGCAAGTTAAAACAACAATGAGGTACCACTACACACATGCCTATTAGAATGGTCAAAATCTAAAACACTGACAACCTCAAATGCTGGTGAAGAGGTAGAGCCAGGAATTCTCACTTGTTGCTTGTGAGAATGCCAAAAGGTATAGTCACACTCGAAGATGGTTTGTTGATTCCTTACAAAACTGAACATACACTTACCACTAAATCCAGCAATAGCACTCTTTGGTATTTACCCAGAGGATTCTACCACTGTCTGTATAAAAACCTGCACACAGATCTTATGGCACCTTTTTCATAATTGCTCAAACTTGGAAGCAACTAAGATGTCATTCAGTAGATGAATGGATAAATAATATCTGTGCAATAAAATATTATTCAGTGCCAGAAACAAATGAGCTATCAAGTCACAGAAAAACATGGAGGAATCTTAAATGCATATTGCTAAGTGGAAAAAAAAGGCCAATCTGAAGATGCTTTATACTTTATGATACATACTATATGACATTTTGAAAAAGGCAAAACTGTGGAACAGTAAAAAGATCAGTGGTTGCCAGAGGCTGGGTGGGGGAGGGATGAGAAGACAGAGCATGAAGAATTTCTAGGGTGATGAAAATACTCTGTATGATACTATAATGATTGATGGATACATGTCATTATATGTTTGTCCAAACCACAGAATGTACACCACCACGAGTGAACCCTAAGGCAAATGATGCACTTGGGGTGATTATGATGTGTCAATGTAGGTTAACCAAGTAATACAAATAATGGAGAAGCTATGCATGTATGGAGACAGGAGATATATGGGAAATCTTTGCACATTACTCTCAATTTTGCCATGAACCTAAAACTGTTCTAAAAAAATAAAGTGTAAAAAATTTAACAAGAAACTGTCCTTGACAAGTTCCCAGTAATCTCTGTTTCTACTTTGGGAACCAAATATTTAGGTACTTTGGAGCAGATCTTCTTTATGTTGGGTAAAATATGAGCGTCCTTTAATTGTGTGGCTTCAAGACATTTTTCTGGGACAGAAATACAACCTAGAATAGACACCTGCTGCTTTTATCTCAGCCACTTTATTTTAGAGGAATTATACCACAAATTCTAGAAAACTTCCATTTTATCTATGTGGATTTAATGGGCTCGTTCATGTTCTTCAATGACCCTGTTAATTACAATTGAGCACTTGACCCAAAGTGGGCCAATTATAATTCCTTAAATGCCTGGAATTTAGGACAAGGGAAGAGTCTTGAACTCAAGGAACAGCAGTTTTTCTTGAATAAACGAATTGATTTAACAAAGGTCGATTGTGTTTTATTGAATTCTTAGTACATCAAAATATTATCTTTTGTGGAGTAAGATCAAGTGCTATTCCTTGCCAGGCAATATTAGTTGCAAAGTTTGCTGGTAGCATACAGGGTGGGGCAAAAGTAGATTTTGTAGCATTCATATGGGATAGTAAATAGTAAAGTCTGTAATAGTAAAGTCTAAACTTAAGGAGATGAATGTGTTAACTAATTTTATTATAGCAGTCATTTCATAATAAATACACCCATCAAATCATCACATTGCATACCTTAAAATTACATGAAGTTGTATATCAATTATATCTTAAGAAAGCTGGATAAAAAATGAAGTCTAAATTCGATCTTTATATCATTAAGGCCTTGATTTTAAGAGGCAGAAAAAAAAACCCCAAAATTTTAAAAATGGAATTTTTTTGTGCACATAATTAAAAAACCTGGGGATATATTTATCTTTACATACTTCTTGAACCAGGGTGAACCAAGCCTCTTGCTTCTCTTTCTGTCTTTCTCTGTGCCAATTCCATTCCCTGTCATGTTCGTCCCTCATGCTGCAATATGGCTACATCTTCCTAATTCCAAGATCAGTGGAAAACAGGAACCTTTTTTCCCTAGAAAAATGCATAAAGGAGTGTTATTTTAACTCTAAATTGGTCACAAACCCATCACTCAATAGGCCACTAAGACCAAAGACAGATGAGTTATGGTGTGATAACAAAAATCTAGCATCCCAAGGGCTTATGAAAACAGTCTTTATGTCTCACACAAGCTATGTGGCCATCAAAGGCAGGTTGCTTCTTGGCTGCCCTCACTCTGGGACTTACACTCAGGGGCAACCACTGTCTGTTGCTGTCATGGTTGCAGAAGAGGAGTTTGGATAGACCCACAGTGACAATTAAATGCTTCACCTCACAGTGACATATATTTCCTTTACTCAGTATTCAATAACCAGACCTAGACACAAGCCCCACTCAACCACTTGGGACAAGGAAGAGATATCCTATCATGTACTCAAAATGGGACAAAGGGGTGGGCGGAGATTGGACTTTTTAGCAAACAGCATTAAAAAAGCCAAATGCACTATTTGGCTCAGGTTACATACCGGCCTAGGCCTTGGAAGTAGAACCAGCCCCAAACAACTGAGAGCCTATAAATCCAATTGAAAATTTAGTCTATTGATAGGAAAAAGTAAGAGTCTCTGTCAGAAAAAAAAAACAACCCAATATTACATTTAATTAAGTCAGTTTCTAGTAAATAACCCAAATTTTGAATTCAGTATGAGTGTATCTTCCTCTGTTAGTAAATTATTAGCTTCAAGATCTATAAATCAAAACCAAAAACTAAATGTCATTTTCCCCCCATCCTCCTGATTTTAATCTGGTTGATTCCCTTAAGCAATCGACACAGTCTAAACTTTTTGGAGTAGACATTTTAAATCGAGTTCAGTTGCTAATTTATGGGTCCTAGACAGCTCTCCCTGTGGTACTAAGGTGGGTTTAAACATAACTAATTCTATTTTAAAATAAAGGTGTGTGAATCACACTTGGGTTTTCCTTTTTAGTACCTAGCTAAAATGGTTCTGTTCCCTTTTGGATCGCTGCATCATTAGATTTTGGGGGTTTTTTAGGTTCTTTGTTTCCTGCAAGATGTTCAGTATCAAGGATTTTTCTTCCTTTAGTTGTCAGGAACTAAAGTCCATTTAAGTGACTTCAAGAATGGAGGAATCTACTGTAAGGCTACAATGGGTAATCTCTGTCTTCTCTGTCTTAAAGACTACACTGATTTTTTCATCTTCATTTTTTCCTTTTTTTTAGCATCTGCCCATATTTTTTTCCTCTCTTAATGATCTCTCTGCTTATTCATTCATTGCCCAGGGCACTGCAACCAAAGGACAATGCCAATCTGTGGGCCTCTTAGTCAAATTTCAAAGAAAAAGGCTGAAATTCATTAGGTATTAGAAACTGGTCTACTGTTAGTCAAATCAGCTCTTGTGGGGAAAAAGTATCACTTGTAACATCCAACTGTTTCTTTTGGGGCATTTGGGTGGGGCCATTTAGGCAAGAAGGAGAATTATACCAAAAAAGCTAACTGGCTATGTCTGCTGTAGGAATTAGGATGCAGATGTTAATACCACTACGGTTACTCCAATTATAAATGCTTTAAATATTAACTCATTTAATCCTATTATGCAGATACCATCATTGGTCTCATATTATACACTGGAAAACTGAAAGATTAAAAGAAGCTTGCCGATGGCCATGTGGTTAATAAGAGGGATTTGAAAGTTGGCAGTCTTGTTCCACAGTCAGTGGTCTTCCCTATTATGCTATATTACTGCCATTGACTATCCTATAGCATCCGAGTTTACATCAGAGAGTTAATTAATGTTTCAGGAGTATTCTCTTAACTCTTTGGCTAGTAGTAAAAATGCTTCTTATTCTCCAAAGCTCATCTCAGATAACAGTATTTTCACTTTGCAAGCTTCCCTGAGCAAACATTATATACATTCCCTTAATTATCACAGATTACCTTGTCTTGTCATTGAGTAATATTGTAATCAGTGAGATTCTGTAGAGCAAAGGTGATATATTTCTTCTTTGTAGCCCTGTTCATAGCATAACTAGTGGCACATAGTATACACTTAATGAATTGTTATTAAATTACTCACTTAATGTAAACCGTAACTGCATTAAATATAATTTATGCTATGCAAATTTTACCAATTTCACCTCTGCTATCATTACATAGGACAAAAGGTGCTTCCATAAGAAAACCTGGGAACAACGTCTGTGAATCTTTGAAATTGCTGGGATTCAGAAGCCAAGACAACGGTTGGTTTGGGCTTGATGATGTGATAGTGAGAACCATGCAGAGTGGCTTGATATCATTTGAATTGTGTGAACACTTAGAGAGGTAATGCAATAATAAACAATGAAAGTTGATGATATTCTGTCCTGATGATTTATCACCGGTGTTTACAGAAATGGGATCATAGGATTAAATTTTTATTCTTCAGATAGGAATATGAATAGTCCCTTAGGGTGTGCTTAAAATGCAAACCAGAACTGACATGAATATGTTATCTGTAATTTCATTTATGATAGCTTAATAACTGCTTTTGGAAGCCATTCATAACTTAAATTTATTTTTACAGGTTTCTTCTCGTTCCAAAAATAGTTATAAAATAGCACCTTCATTTCTGAAATTCTATAACGATAGTAATTAACTGTTCATATTATGCTTATCTCATAACTATGTATATAGAAACTGAATTTGTTATTTCTGTGTCCCCATTTCACATTCTCATTTCCATGTTTTCTAGACATCTCATTATGAGAAGAGTTTTAGACAGTTTTAAGGTTCGTGAGAAGTAGACATTCATAAAGAGAGGACGATCATGTCCAAAGATGCCCTTTATTGCATCATGGGACATCTTGCATCTACAAATGTCTTGAGTTAGGTTTCCTAGAAAAAGAGTCTAAGATGTAAAGGCAAGTGATTTATTGAAAGAGGGTCCTCAGGTGAATCTTGAAAGGGCATGAGAGAAGTGGGTAAGGTAAGAGAAGAAGGTGGGAACATCTATGGCTCCAGCTGAAGTTTAACCTCAGCCTGATGCCTCAGAGGGGCTGCGCAGTGTGAATACCAAGGCGCCTGGCTTAGCACCCTTGCGTCGCTCATCCCTGTGCATGGGCCGGGGGCTGCTCTGGGCTGAGGGCTCCTGTAGGGCAGCTATCTGGAGAAGAGTTGGGTGATGGGTGCTCTAACCAAGGGGAAGGATATGTACTAATTTGCTGGGCTGCCAGGAAAAAGTATTAAAAACCAGGAGACTTAAACAACAGAAATTTATTGTTTCAGTTCTGGACCCTAAAGTCCAAATCAAGGTGTTGTTAGCAAGGTTCATTCCTCCTGACAATAGTGAAGGAAGGATCTATAAGGCTTTCTCTTTGGACTGTGGATTGCTGTTGCTACGTTCGCCTGGCATTCTCTCTGTATGCATGTCACTGTGCCCAAATTTCTCCTTTTTACAACACCAGTCCTACCGCATTGGGGCCCATATTAATGACCTCACATTAACTTCACCTCTGTAAAGATCCTGTCTCAAATAAGGTCACATTCTGAGGTACTGGGGGTTAGGACTTCAACATATGGCTTTGGGTGGAGGGGACACAATTCAGCCCACAACAGGGTCCATCATAACAATCCTTGGTATACATGATGGAAGAATATCGCAATCCCCACTTAATAATGATACAGATATCTGGTGTCCTATTGCTAGTAAATGGATTATTTTGAGCATTGTTCTCCTCTGTAGTTTGAAGTAATAGTCTTTAGTAATGTTAATTAAAATATATTTTGCAATAAGCAGCCATATTTAGAGCTGAGCTGAGACTACAAAACTTCTTTGTTTGAGAACTTCTGCGTTAGAATGTGGTTTGATTTGAGCTGGTTTCCTGGCTGTCAAGAGTTCCATGAAAGTCATTCATGACCCTAACCAGGTGCTTATCAGCATACTTGATTTTAAAGGAAGTTCGGATGATAACAGCTCCTTTCTTGGGTCTTACTAACTCTCGATGATATTTTTGGGACTGTAGGTTTCCCTGAAGTCCTGCCTCTTCTCGTCCATGCAGGTTTATTGTGCTCCACCTGTCTTCCACTGTGGACAATAGCCACTTGATTTCTTTTGTGAAATCTTTGGAGGAAGCCATGCTCAGTACCAGTGCCTGCGTGGTACTGTATCACCGGAAAGACAACCCACATAGAGTAGTTATTTTGGTGGTGCCTTCTAAAGATTTAAACCAGGTGCTTAGGAATTTGCGCTTGGAAGCTTTCAGTGGTCCTCCAGAGCCGTCCTGCCATTTCCAAGTGAAAGAAGGAGAGCAACTTCTCTTAAGGTTTACTGGAAACATATTTGCCTCAAGTAAGTATAAAGACATCTTTTGTACGTTTTATGAGCTATCAGCCACATACTTCAGAAAGGGTTCGCTAAACCTGTATTATGAAAGAAAACTTCTGACAACTGAGGAGCTTTTGAAAAGCAAGAGAATGAGCTTTACTTCTGTCCAGTCTCTTTCTGTGTATTTTTGGGGAAGCATACAGCATTATGGGCAGATTATAAGTGGTATTCTTTTAGAAATCGCCTTCTCCATGATTACTATGTGAGTCCAAGTTCAGATCATCTCTTTCCCACATCAAATAGTTGCCTCCTAAATAGTCCTCTGCTTTCACTATTAGTCATATGAACACCATTTCCACAGAGTAACAATCATGATCTCTTAAAATTATAAATAATACTTTATTACTCTCCTGATTAAAACAATATCATTACAACTCCTATTCGGCTTAAATTAACACCCAAACTCTTGTTATCTTACAAACAATGTAACCTGAGGTCAGTGGATTCTTAAGAAATGTATGTGTAGAACTATTTTCTAGTAAAATTGTCTTATGCATAACTCAGTTTATTTTATTTTATATATTTAAAATGCTGCTCTGAGAAGAGTTAATAGGTTTCACCCAACTCCAGTAGGGTCCACAGCAAAAAAGTGGTTCAGGATCTCTGATCTAGATGACACATCCTTGCCTCCCTCTCACCCTCATATTGACCTAGTGCTTTCTGTTTCCAGTTGAAATGTTACCCCAATTTGGAATCATAATGACTTGTTTACGTATATCCCATTCATATGCCTATGCTATGTTCCTCATTGAAATGTAAATTGCATGAGGGCAATGGCTGTGTTTTCTGGCTGTTGATCCCTGAGTCTAGGATACTGCATGGTGCATCAAAGGCTTTCAATAAATCTGAAGATGCTGCAAAAAACAAACAGGGTGAGTGAATCTGAGTGAGGGCAGGAGAGGCAGGAATAAATGAAAAAGAAGAGAAAAAAGGAAGTGAAGAGAAAAAGAAAAAAGGAAGTGAAGAGAAAGAGAAAAGGAAGGCAAAATGAGAATATGGAGAAAACAGCTGTGTGATAGAAGAGAGAAAAGGATTTGGGGGGAGCAGCCATCACAGCAATTTCTTTTCTTTTTTTATTAGTTCATTGCCTTCCCGTCTCCTTTCCTGGAAGTGGAATGGAATCTAACAGACATGCACATACAGATGAGGGATGGAGAGCTCAGGGTTGAGTTTATGTGGATTTCTGGGTCAGGAGTCTTACAATAGACTTGGCCTGAAGTAATCTTCTCTGATCACTTTTAAATGACTCTAGATCCCATTGATTTTTATTTTGTTTATTCTTATGATGCTTATTTTCTCTCTGATTCTGGAAATCACTGCAAGCCCTTGGGCTCTTTGTTGCTTCAAAAATGATGCAGCCTTAAGCTGAGACTGTTCTTTATCTGAAATCTCTGAAGTAAGTGAAGCCCAAAGTGCCCCAATTTGAAGTTTCTCTTCTACTTTCACATGCAAAGTCTCAGTCATTTGAGTCAGCTGACAGGTCTCAGTGAGTGAATGTCAAGGATGATGGAAAAAGGGAATGGGAAGGGAGAGGAGGGAGAGGAAAGGAGGGAGAGGAAGGAAGGAAGAGACCACTCCCCCTTCCTACTTGGTTTCCGTAGCAGAAACCGTGGAATCTACCCTGGGACTATCTCTCTAAGAAGAGATAGTCAAAAACTGGAAGTGTCCCACCCAAACAAATAATGCAAATGATTTTCCTGTAATACTCTAGACAGCAGCTGTGTTTACCTACTTCCCTAAACACCAGTGAGTTGCTGTGCTTCTTCCAGGCCTTGGTACTGAGTGTCCTGTCGCCTGAAATGGGAGGGAGCATATGCTAAAATAAGAGTTCCTGAAGATAGCCAGGGCGTGTGCAATTCCTCCAAATAAGGAACAGAGAGGAACTCATCTTCACTCAAGGAAAATGAGTCAGGCAGGGTGCCAGAGTCATTTCTGCTTTGCCTTTCCTAGAAACCTATGCTCATTCCTGGAGCCTCACTGGTGTTCTTCCACTTAAGAGGCAAAAGGGGTAAAGAATTGATGCTCATCCTTGCATCAGGGCCTGGGTCCTTTCTGTGAATTTCAGACAGGAAGTCAGGGGCTCTCCGCCTGGAGGGCTCTCCTTCCCACCCATCCCCACTTCTGCCTGCAATTATCTCTTACTGTCTCTTTATATCTCACTTGATGATCACATTCAGAGGAGCCTTCCCTGTCTTTCCAGATTCAGTCCTTATTTTCCTTCTTGAGAGTCTATGAACTTTTCTTTCGTGGACTTTGCCATAGATCCATTCTTCTATTTATTCATTTAATCATTTAATAAATGACAGTTTCTCTGACTACAGTCTCGAAGGAAGTGTCTGTCTTGTTGGCAAGCTGCATTCAATTCCCAGCACCTAGGATGGTGCCTAAAAGCTAAAAGGGGTTTATCGAGTATTCGTGAAAGAATGAAGACAAAAAATTGAGGAAGGACTTAACACAATATTATTGTGTGATTAAGCATTTAAAACTTTAATAAATTTAGATAACTGCTCTCTGAATATTTTCAAAAATCTCTATAGTCATTATATAGAATAGAGATGATTCCTTTGAGTGAGGACCATGGGACATGGACTTTACTTCTACTTCTAAGAGGAAAAATAGATAGATAGGTACTTGGTCTTCATATTGACCTTTGGCATTCTTCTGGACACAAGCTAGAGTATGCTTTCATTCTCTAGGTCAGAGCTGTTAATTCAGCACTTAAGCTTTTTATTGAAGTGGGCACACAAAATGGTATACAATATACCTTAGCATCACCCCTAACATCTAGTAATGCCTCAAAAAGGTCTATGTGTGTCAAAGTTGCCCTGGATGCCCTTTGGACCAGGGAAATTATTTTCCCAGATACATATGTAGGATGTTAGAATGACTGTCCTTGTTTTCATTCAACAAAAATTCCCCATCCTCATGTATATTGTATTCTAATTGAGAGAGACAGAGAAGGAGCAAATAAGTAAATAAAATACATAGTTTAATGGGGGTAAAAAGTACTGTATAGAAGAATAAAGCAGGAAAAAGATATGGAGAGTCTCAGGGGGAATGTCAGAGTTGAAATTTTACATAGACTCATCAGGAAAGACCTTTTTGACAAAGAGGCGTTTAAACAGAGATGAAAGAGCAACCATAATCCCACCTCTGGAGCATTTGCCCCATGCAGGGAGGTTACAATTGTAAAAGAACTGAGGCAGAAGTGTGCCTGGTGTGTCTGAGGAACAGCAAGGAGGCTGAATGGCTGACTGAGACGGAGTGAGTGGAAAGCTGGAGGAGATGAGGTGAGTGCTGGTCATGCCATGGAGTCCATTGCAAGGACTTTGCCTTATGTAAGGTGTTGGCTGAGGAGACACAAGGTCTTAGTTAGATTATAAGTGTGTTGAGAATAGATTGTGTAAGTCAAGGGAAGAAGCAGGGAGACCAGTTGATGAGTCATTGCAGTAAAACCATGCAATAGCCCTGGCTGGTGTGGCTCAGTGGACTGAGTGCCGGTCTGTGAACCAAAGTGTCGTCGGTTTAAATCCCAGCCAGGGCACGTGCCTGGGTGGTGGGCCAGGTCCCCAGAAGGGGGCGCGTGAGAGGCAACCACACATTGATGTTTCTCTCTCTTTCTCCCTCCATTCCCCTCTCTAAAAATAAATAAATAAAATCTTTAAAACAATAAAGTACAATAAACAGTGCAAGGGATGATAGAGGCTAAGAGGCAGAGGTGGTGAGAAATGTGAGAATACAGAAATACTCTGAGCCAGTGGCTCTCCTGGAGTTTTCTGGTTCTTCATATTGCTAGCCTTCACCACCTCATCTGATTTTTCTAAGCAGAAGCATATATTTCTATGTTTGTACTTTCTATGTCATCAAAGAAAAATATTCCAATGTCCATTATTAACATGAAAGTATATTGCTATAAGGAATATTTAATAACCTATAGATTACAAATAAATTTTGTGTTTCGTTATAATACCAATATTTCTGAACATCTACTGTCTAAAGGCCCTACTAGAAACTATTGAATATGTCACATGTTGAAGAGAATGAGTTTCTCAAAAGGTCAACTGATGGTTGATTTAATAATATTGGTGTACAACAAATGGATTTTCCTTTTATTTGTCCTCTAAATATGCCAGTGTGGGAGGAAAAGAATAGAATAGTGTGATTTCTTCATTCTATACTCAACCCTTGGGGGGGTGGGCAGTGGTCTTTTTTTTCTTCTGTGACAAGAGTTTCTTCAAAATATGGTGTTATATCTTGACAATAATGAAATTCCAACTTTAAAAAATCTACATAATGCTTTCTATTTATAACAATAAGGTCATGCTATTTACTACTAATAAATTCTCAGTACCTTATTTCCTATTTTATATTTAATGTTACTCAGAAATGAGAGATTTACGTTATAAATCTTTATTTTTAAAAAAAATTACTGGCAATAAGAGGTAGATACATTTTAGATTTAAATAGAATCAATGTAGATCTAAATCTATTCTGTTCAAGTAGCCAGGTTATCTCTAAAATACAGAGTTAGGCAAAGGGACATACTCCTATATCTTTAATAACCTGGGGATACTCTAATTCTAGATTTTATTGTACTTCATAAATTCATCAAAATGTCCTTTGAGTCATTACAATCGGAAGAGGAGTATTGGTGTTATTTTCATCTCTCACTGAAACCCTACTTCATGGGGCAAAATAGGCAGTCACCTTTCAGGCATTTAGGGGCAGGAGGAAGTTGTAACTTAAATAGAAAAACTTTATATTGACACATCTTTAAAAAAAATTTAGTGGACTGTTTTCATCATACAAATTCAAAACAATGGGAAAATTCTGCTTCTTATCATTGCTTTCATTTATTGAGCACATATTATATGCAAGACCCTATGCCAAACATTTTATCCGTATTCTCTTGCTTCATTCACAGAACAAATCTAGGAGGTAAGTTTTACTTCTCCTGTTTTGAAGAATGTTAAGTAAGGCTCTAAGAAGCTCAGAGATATGACAGAACTGGATAAATATCTTTATGTCAGGAGCATATCATAACTGCTCCTTTATACCTTACATTTAACCTTTGCTAAGGGTAACGCTGGCATGCCTGAGGGACATGGTGCTGTGTTACTATTGCTGTGACAAAGTAAAATATCCTGACTGTCACAGTAAAACCTCCCTGGGTGAAAGGTTATGTTTACTAAATCCTCATTATTTTTAGTGTGCAGGTGGGTAGACTTTTACATATCATTGTTTTGAGGGAATTTACCATGTTTTAATAGAAATACCAGTAACATGAATCTAGTAACTATTTCATTTAGAAGTTTTAGAACAGCACTGTCTATTTCTGTGATGCTAGAAGTATTTAATATCTGCACTGCCCAATAACATAGCTACCAGACAAGTTTGGCTAATGATTAGAGTGATTAAATAATTGAGTTTGAATTTTAATTAATTTTAACTTTAATTTTAAAAACCACAGCTAATGGTACTCATATAGAAGAATGCTGATCTAGACTGTCATTATGAGGTCGTGAGAGTGTACAATATGATATAGTTAGAGGAAAGGAAAAAAAAACTCTTGAAAGGTGAAAATAATTTTTTAAACATAGAGCTGAATATTTCCAATAGTTTCTTGTTATAGTAAAATGGAATAGAAAAAGAAAATTAAAGATTATCAGATATAGAAGCAGCCAGAGACAATTACAGGTGAGAAATCCTTTGAGTAACTACAGAGGCCCAGAGCCTATTGTTGCTGCTTTGTCAGGATATATTTGGACAAAAGGCAATGATACCAAAAAAATTGCATTAAAAATATACAATTGTTTAGATTTTAAAAATTAAGACACAGTGGTATATCTTAAAAGTAACAAATGCATTTTACTTCCATGTAGGCAACGGGAAGGATTATGGAAAAGACTACAAGCTGATTTTTCATTTACAAAGAAAACCCAGGCTGGAACTGCAAATCAAAGAGGTGGATGAATTTGGCAACTACAGCTGCTCTCACTATAAGGGCACCATTGCAGTTTATAAAGTCCCTAAAGAAAAGACAGTCCACAATTTGGATCAATCTCTCATACTTAATGAAAACCATTATCAGTTGCCAATTTGCAAATTACCATTGAGATTGCCAAAGGTGAGTTATTTTACTTCCCTAATTACCATAGTTGGTTAATTCTTTATAATGTTCTACCACAATAAAAATTTCTGGTATATGGATACTTGAAGTTAAAAGGAAAGGTAGTAATAAAGTTGATAAGGAAGCAATGGGTAACTATGATTTTAGATTGGTAGAATACATATCAGGTTTTCCACTTTCATGTCAACTTTCTAGCAGGGACAATTTAAGTGGATCTGATCCTGATAGTATGTTGTTAACGACTATGGAGATAATGTCATTCATTTCTGTGTGACTGGGAGGTCATTTATGAAAACATTGACTGTATTTTAGAGCACAGCCCTTTGAAGAAAAATGATGGGGTGAGCAGGAAAATGACATCAAAATATTTTCACCAAGATTTACCAAATGCTGCCCATTTGTTTGAAGAGTTACTCTTATTTAAAATTCTTACTCATCAGAAAAGTGTGATTGAATTGTTTCTCTGAACATGTCAAGCAACAAATAATTTTATTACCATACATACTATTTCCTGTATTGATCCATGACTTAGCACTTCTGAACTATATTCTTAATGAGAAAATAACTGAAAAATTCATTTTATCACTCCGGAGAAGAACAAACTTATTCTATAAAGATGCCAAAATTATTTTTCCACGTGTTTGTCTTTTTTGTACTATAAATAATAAGAATATATAGAGTTGGCCAAAAAGTCCATATGATTTTTTTCCACAAAAAAGACACATTTTTCATTTCCACCTATAACTTGATTGATTTGAATATTTTAAGTATGCCAGCTATCACCCACGTGGTGAAACGTTGACTGTTCTCAGATAATGTCTCGATTTGATTGCTATCAACTTCAAGTGGTCTATTGACTGTGGAGTACTATCCAGCCAGAAATCGCCAGCACAAAACTTTGCAAACCACTTTTGACACACTCAATTAGTTACAGCAACTTCTCCATACACTATACAACTCTCTCTTTCTTTTTTTTGCATTTCAGTTGCTTTATACCTTTCCTGAAATAATAAAGCACAATATGCCGAGAATGTTGTGTATTTTCTTCTTCCTTCAATATTAAAATGGCTACACAGAAATTCACCAATTTTGATAAGTTTTTTAAAAAGTACACTATATGACAGACATCACAATACACTCTAAAAATTCTTTTGAATGAAGTTTAAGACAACTGAATACTACTAGAGCCATCATATGGAAAAAAACAAATGGATTTTTTTGGCCAACCCAATATTTTCCATGGGATTAGATTTTGCACTGATTTTAAATAAATTCGCAAATTAAGTAATTTGACACATATTAATTGAACTTTGGAAATAGAGGATGTGACATGCTAGACAGTAGGATAAATTCAGAGCTATAGAGGATAATCCATGCCCTGAAGCTGCCTCATCCTGAATGGTACCCAATAGCCACAGGCATCTATGGAGCACCTGAAATACAGCTAGTCCCAACTGAGATGTGCTGTATGTGTTGAATGCACACTGGAGTTCAAAGACTGAGTGAATAAAACTATAAAATATTTCATTACTAACTTGTTTATATTAATTGCATAGTAAGTTATAATGCTTTGGTTATGTGTTTAAAAAAATATATAATTAAAATTAATATCACCTGTTTTTTAAAAATGCATGTAACTAAAAATACATAAAATGATGCCCTGGCTGTGTGACTCAGTGGATCGAGTGCCGGCCTGTGAACCAAGGGGTCGCCAGTTCGATTCCCAGTCAGGGTACATGCCTGGGTGGTGGACCAGGGCCCCTGCAGGGGGTGCACGAGAGGCAACCACACACTGATGTTTCTCTACCTCTCTTTCTCCCTTCCTTCCCCTCTGTCTAAAAATAAATAAATAAAATATAAAAAGAATAATAATAAAATGACTTCTGTATCTCACACTATGTTTCTATGGGACAGCATTGCTCCATGTAATTTTCAATCTAGTTCACTATACAAAACAAGTACACAAAATCCCCTTGTAAGAGAGTAACTGATTAATGGTATAAACAGCATAGGGAACTGGTTTTTCTGGAAGATGAAATCAGTAGAAGCGTTGTGGTGGTTGTAGCATTTTAACTGAATCTTGTTAAATAAGTAGAAGTTTGGCCATTGGAAATGAGGAAAAAAGTATGTTAAGATGAGGAAAAGGAATGAATTTGAGTGGAGATGGTAGGCATAACTTAGCAGGAATTCATAGTCCATATAATAACCATTATAATTATTTCTAAAGCGCAAAGAGTCTTCTAAGAGCTTTATATGCAACATGATTAAATCCTCACAAAAATCCTATGAGCCATTTTCACTTTTCCCCTTTTACAGTAAACTGAGGCATAAAATTTTTGCTCATGGCCTGATAGCTAAGTAAGTGGCAGAGCTAGGATTCTAACCCAGAAAATCTGCTTCCCACACCTCCAGCTATTGTGTGCTGCTGCCTCTGAAGCAGATGAACCTGGGATTCTTAGGGATAGATTTTAGGACAGCCAGTTTCACCCTTGAAGTTGTATGACAATATCATGTATGCTATGCTTTAGTGTAGAGGTGACATTAAAATTACTTAACAAATGGTATAACAGGTTCTGGTCATTCAAACTGAAAATAACTATTTGAGCAGGAGTGCAGGGTCCTTAGAGACTCTACCACTTTACTTACTGGTTTGGGGGAGGTCCTGGGTTTCCTGGGCAGGATATACAGGGTGGCAGAGTCTACTAAGCCCCTGATCCTGAAAATCTTATTTTAAGAGCAGTATAGCCATACAGGTGCATACCCACGTTCAGTTTTCCATCTGTTCACTTTCATTTCCATCTGACGGACTTTGTACTTGTTGTTTCCTATGTTTAGCCCTCTCTTCTCTCAGTCCCATGGATGGTTATCATTCAGGTCTCAGCTCAGACAGCACCCCCTAATCCTGATGTCCCCATCTCCTTATCTAAAGTCACTTTTTAACCCATTACTCTTTTAAGACTTACTGCATAACACTTACCACTAATTTGAATTGTTAGATTTATCTGTGTTCATTTATGTTCTGTTTGCCTTTGGCCCTTCAGAAAACAAGCTACATGAGTCAAAGACCTTTTCTGTCCTGTTCCATTTCCATTGTCAGTGATTAGAACAGTGACTGGGTCATTGTAGGCTCTCTAAATATTTGTAACCAGATGAATGAGGGGAAATCTATAGTGTGTGTTAGGTTCTGAAAGTTTCAGGACTTGACCTAAAGGAAAACTTCAACTGTCTTAGATCAATGGTTTAGAGTCTGACTGTACAAATGGTTACCTGGCAGGCAAGGGAGTTGATTTGGATCAATACGATGATTTGAGAAGAGAGGAACAATACATCGGCGGTTGTTGGGGTGAGTGCTGTCTTCCGGGAGCTCAATTCAGCACATGACTTCCTAAGACCACTATGTTGTTCTGCTGCTGTGGCATGACCAGAGGGAGACAGATGGGGGACAGATGGGGGGCTGCTGGACTTCTCTGGCAGGAGGTAGTGTGGGCCTCACTGTGATGATGGCAGACCATGGGGGGAAAAGATGCCATTATGCAAGAGAAGACAAGTTTGAGGTCCAGAATGTAACATAAATGGAGCCTTCAGTTTGCAGTGTTTTCTCTGTGGCCTATCTAACTTCATGAGTTAATTAGCCAGATTAGCCAGGCTAGATAATTTAAAGCTCTATATAGATTTGTTTCAGTAAAAGTCTATCTTAGGGATTGTCCAGGTTTTTTGCACATGCTCTTCTACTACCTTTATTCTAGCACAACATTCCCTACACACAAAATTCCCCGTGGCCGTCTCTGCTGAGCTATCGCTTGTGTCAGGAAGTCTTGCCTGACCTCCTCCTCCGCACCTAGTCAGGTGTTCCCTGGGCAGGTATTTCTATAACATCTCGTATTTTCCCTCTCACTTTAATGACCATATTTTACTATCATCACTGACTTCCCAATAGACAAAAGTTTCTCAATTTTTGTTTGTTTGTTTTTGCCTTCCTAAGGAGTCTTTTTAGGAACCTTTTCCCCTAACCACTCTCCCCCATTGTTTTAATATCACAGATATTCTGTATGTATGTTTATGTACTGTGTGTATATATGCCATACATAAATATATACACATATTTCATATCTATACATATTTTAATATAACATATATATATTCTTACACATTAAGCATAAGCTTTTTTTTGAGAAAATGTTCTCTCCGTGAGGGTGACCTGACCCCAACTGAGAATGAGTTCAATCAACTGCAGTCACACCCTTGTCCCGCCACTTCGTGTTGTCAGTGCCACACATATATACATGTGTTTGGTAAGTATTTGTGAATGATTAGATGAATGAAAAAGTACCTTCAAACCCTAACATTGTCCAACCTTGAAAAATAATCTTGAAACTGCAGAAGCATGTTTAAAAACAGCTCATTTTAAACGTCTGCTGCCTTTCACATGTGAATCCACTGCCCATGCGCCGCCTGTTCTAGTCAATTCTCCCAGCTGGGTTTGGACAGGGCTCTCTGGAGTCATTCTGGTGGGCCTTTCTTATACCTGAGTAAAGTCTTTACAGTAAATTCCTTGGGACTGAGGAAGAACCTGTGGCTGTAGAGATGTTTTCCCTCTCTTCAAACTGACATATGTAAATGGGAACCAAAACTATGACCTTTATTTTTGGTAGAACGCCTTTCTTCCATAAATGTCAGAATTCTTAAAAACTCAACCTCATGTAGGCAGTATTAGAATGGGCTGTTTTTGAGGAAATGAATGTAGCCTTTTTATATAGAGCTTGGCATTAGTGAATACTGCATGTGCATACATCTATACGTGTAGTATAAATTAGGTGAAGTCATTTGTCAAAATGAAAAGTGCTTTCCACACAGAAGACAAGCAGTAAATGTTTATATGTGCACATTTAGACCTAAACACAAACACACTCATATGCACATAAATGTAAGATGTAGTGTTAATATACTATGTCTGATTCCCAGAGATATGAAAACATACTACCCCTTACTTCATGCTC